ATAATAATAATAATAATAATAATAATAATAATAATAATAATAATAATAATAATAATATTTGCGGTGAAAGTTGCGGATAAAGGAGAAGAGAAAAGTGTTTTAATTAGGAAGGGTAAATAATGTTATTTCTTTAAAATAATAAGAACAAGTACGGAAAAAAAGTTAGGAAGCTACTAGCTTATTTTGAAACCTACCTAAGGTAGAGTTTCAAAATAAGCTCTTATTTTAAGCTACGAGCTTATTTTGGGAAGATTACCAAACAGAGCTTATAGCTTATTATTAGTAGCTTAAAATAAGTTATAAGCTCCTAAATAAGCTCTGCCAAATAGAGCCATAATAGAAAAAAAAAAAAAAAAGTCACTACCATTTATATGTCTGCAGTAGTTAACATATTATGTATCTACCGTTAACAGATTATGTGCATGTAAATAAATTGAAAGCACATAATATGTTAACTACCTGCATAACATTAGGGGTTGTGTTAGGGTTGTATTATCTATCTTGATGCTATATTTTTTATGATTGCATAAAGGGGATTTTTGCATAACCTAGGTTTATTGAGTTTATGAAGGATTTGCGCTTGTATTTTGTTAATGTTTGGTGTACACATTTATTAGCACGATTTTGGAGAATCCTCGGCTACAACGAGAGTTGGGTCAAGGATTTGAGTCACTCCTTGCATAAACTCAATTTCTTTATATGAAAAATAGGAAAAATTGAGGGCTTTTAATGCTTTGTTTTCTTTATGGAGTTGAAATTAATGCGTCATGAGAGTGAATCAATTTATTGTTCTAATCTTTGTTTATTGATCACAACAGTGACTTATAGACTAGGATTCTTTCGTGAATTATATTTCTTCAATTTCTTGGTTGTGTGCTTTTCCTCAATTCTTAGATTGTGTTATACATCTATAAGATAATGCTCCCAAGCTTAAATTCGGCATATTCCCTATATTATTTATCTCTTGTACGTTAATATGTGTTTGTGTTATCTTATTTTGTTATTGTTGCCTTCAACTTGTTATAGATAGTATAGATTCTTGTTGATTTCTTAGTGCTAGTGTCTAATTGCTTGTATTGCATATTATGTGCCATAATTCTCAATCTCAAGAAAACAACAAAACACATGCGCTCAACGTAGCTACATCAGAATGACATTCAATTTATTTTTTATGTGGCATTTTTGGGAATATGTTCATATTTATTAAAACTATACCTTAGTTAACCTATTAATTTGAGACACTTGACAAGATTACTAATAATGCCCTTATAAGGTTGGAAGTTTGACAAATAAGAGTCAAACTTTGCTTTATTTTAAAGAGAAAAGGGTCAAATAAGTACTCGAACTTTACCTAAGAAGTCAACTAAACCCCTAAACTTTTTAAAGTAATAATAAAACCCATAAACATTGTATTTTGGTGCAATAAAGTCTAAAATCGGTTAGTGACATGCTGTTACATGTCACTAGAGTTTCGGCCAACATTCTAACCAACTCCAACGATATTTCCAACAAAGTTTAAAAAATCTAAGGGTCTAATGTTTGTTTTTAAAGCACCCGTTGAGTTAATGATGCTCCTATATACAAGCTTAAACTATCTATCTATACTAAATTGTTGTTTCATATTATTCAAGACTCCTTGGTACGAGTCAAAACCGCATCATATTCTTCAAGGCTCCATAGCGTGAGTCAAAACTGTCTCATATCTTTCAAGGCTCCTTGGCACAAGTCAAAACTGCTTCATTTCTCCAAGGCTCCATGACACGAGTCAAAACTACTACATATCACTTCAATCTCCTTAGTATGAGGATAAACTACATCATATCACTTCAATCTCCATAGTAAGAGGATAAACTGCTTCACATCACTTCAATCTCGTTAGTACGAGGATAAACTATTTCATATCATTTCAGCCTCCTTAGTACAAGGATAAACTGCTTCATATGGTGTCGAGACTTCCTTGCATTACATACTTTCAAGTAGCGTGTCCAAGCAAGTCTCAATGGGACAATTTGTAGACATAGAAATTTTGCCATAATTAAGCTGGCTAATAATATTGAATCGCATTTAAATTAAGTTATTTAAGTTTGTGCATCAATTAGTTAAATTAATTTTGGTTATGTTATTTGCCAAGTTAATTTAATTATTTGATAACGATTTAGTCAAACTAAATATTATTTAAGATATTATAGTTTTATTATATTTGAATTTAATAATTATTATTAAATTCAAATGTGGTGATCCGATCTTAAACCTATACATGATTATGGCACGGCTAATAAGTTTGACTAGTGTTTATAAATTTGGCAAATTATGCCATGAACAAGAGTTCACCTTGCAATGTGAATCCTGATTCAAAATGATATTCAACTTATGTACCTGCATTTAACATATTTTGTACCTTCAATTAATAGATCATATACCAATAAATAAATTGAAGACACACAATTTATTAATTGCAAGTATGTAATAAGTTATTACTAGTATGTACATAATTTATTAATTAAAGGTACATAATATGTTTGATGGGATATGGGCTCGAGTATGAAAGGTTAATATTGGTAGGCGGGACAATGAGGAAGAAAGATAAGGAAGCTAGGCAGAATATGACGACGAAGTAGTTAGGACAGAAGAGAGAGCCAAAGGAGTGAATATAGGAACCAGAACACTTGAAGTAGGGGCGGCATAACCTTCGAGGAGTTGGCCAAGCCATGTTAAGGAACCGGATGGGTATATGAAGCACTCAGACTAAGGAGCCAAATGAGAGCGACATGTGGTTTACCTGGTGAATTTGAGTGACTCGGTTAGTCAGTTCAAGAAGCTAATTTAAGCAGACAAAGAGATCGGCAGGAACCAGATATAGGAAGGATGGAGATCCCAGATGAATAGAGTAGCGGAAGGTTAAAGGATCCAACCCGCCGAGGGGAAAGAAGGGTGAGTCACTTAGCCGGTCAGAAAAGCAGTGCGAGTGCGTTAACCAGTCTCCCCGGGCTCAAGTAGGTCTCGCTGAGTAATGGAAGGAGTCGGCTGGATGGGTCTGAGTGAAGAATGATCTAGGAGCCCAGCGAGAGGGTAATAATGGTGCGATTAATGTGAAGCTAATGGCAATGATGAAATCGTTGTTGAGAGAGATAATCCGTCATGAAGGAGATGGGGAGCCGGAGTTATATCTCATGATTAGAGGCATTTATGGCATTTAAAACCTTAATTATTTTATTTATTCTTCCAAAAAGGCTGAACCCCAACCCTAAGGGCCCCCACACTCCGACCCGACAGAGCATTTGGAAGGATGTAAATCATGGTAACTCAACTGAACATGATATAATGAGTGGCTGATTGTAACAAGTCACCTTAACTTGTGTAAAAAGCCAGGCATGGTAAAATGGGTTGAGTAACTACATACACGCGTAAGTTTGAGAGCTATATCCTCATTTTAGGCAACTTTACACCTTATTTCTAGTAGTGTTAGCTTGTTGGTAGATTGCTCCGGTAGTCTCGAAATCAACAATGTTATATATATATTAGTATTTTTTATGCGCGATACGCAAAAAATAGGTGCCCAATATTAATACTTTATATTAAAAATTTTAATTTATTTAGAGTTTAGATATTTAAATTATTTTAAATAATAATAATAATAATGTAAATCATTTTTATAAATTTGATATTTATATTTATGTAATAATTAACATATAACTCAAATATTTAAAGTGTATATATATTATTATTAATGAAGAATATAAGAAAATATATGGTGGATGCATGTGCATGGTAACAATAGTGGAAAATATAACGGAAGTTATAACGGTAGGGGTATGTTTGTCCAAAATATTTTAATGTACAACCTTTATAGCATAATGTACAAAAAAAAAAACATAACGGAAAAAACGGACATAAATCAGTGGTATAACTTTCATTCACACTTATTATGTTTTTAGAATTTTAGAATATATATATATATATATATATATATATATATATATATATATATATATATATATATATATAACCATGATTCACGAGGTGCACCAGGTCCATGGTAGAACTATTGAATGAATTTTCGAGTTAATTCCCAAAATATCCTCCAACTATGGTCTTTTCTCAAATTGGTTCCTTGACTTTTCATTGCACCCAAAGTGGTCCTCCAATTATTGAATTTTAAGTCAAAATGGTCATCCGTTAGCTTTGGTATTAAGCCAAATGAAGGGCAAAAGGGACAATTATATTATTTGTTGTTTAGACCTAGCTTTGACCAGCCCATTAAAAAAAAAAAAAAAAAAAAACTTGACCAGCCACTACTTTTACAATGCAGTACTACAAAAAAAAGTTGACCAACCGATTTCTTCCCCGTGAAACAATTACCCCAAATTCCAAAATTAAACAATAACCCTATTTTCCCCTTCTTCCTAGCGAAACGATTCCGCCAAATTGTAATTGGTATGAAAAAAAATTTAATAAACAGGGCGGTTTTTAAAAGGGGAAAATATGTTTATTGTTTCATGTCGGTCGCAATTTGGCAGAATCGTTTCGTTGGGAAAAAGGAAAAAATAGGTTTATTGTTTAATTTGGGGATTTGAGATAATTGTTTTGCAGGGAAGAAATTGGTTGGCCAAGTTTTTTTTGTTTTTTTTTTTTTTTTTGTTTTTGTTTTTAGTACTGCATTGAAATTAGTGGCTGGTTAATTTTTTTTTTTTTTTGTTTTTATAAATTGTTCATTTTGTCCTATATTTTAATACTCATTTAATACAAAAGTTAATAAAGAACTATTTTAACTTAAAATTTAATAATCAGGAGATCACTTTAGGTGTTATTAAAAGTTAATGAATTAATTTGAGAGGGAGGACGATTTTGAATATTAATTTCCGAGAAGTCCATTAATCCTTAATTACAACGCGTGAGGGCTGGTCAGTGGTCACTCGTTTCGGTCATTTTTGGTCCGAGTCAAACGTCCAATAGTTTATAGTGTCACATTGAATTTGGAATTGAAAACGGCGTCAAATAACTGTCCTATATATACATATATGCAATACTTCTTCCCGATCATATTATATCCAGTAAATGTTAGGCGAGATGCAAGCAGTTGGCCGCCACCCGCACAGCCACCCTTCAACCACCGGTCTCCGCCGCAGCAACCATCTTTCCGCCACCGCGAAAGTATGTCCTGTGATCCGTGCCTACCAAGATGCGACTTTCGAAACTCACAAGAAGAAGTGGGGCTCAAACAGGGCAACGAAATTAGCCGAATCCTTGTCTAACTTCATCAATCTTCAAATCGAGACGGCTAGTCTTGCCAAGCGGAACAATATCGTGGGCATCGATGACAAGGCAGACATTCCTTTAATGTCCCCCAAGGAAAATATATCGGAGAATTGGCGCGACCTCCATGGCTGCCGCGAATGGGAAGGCCTTCTCGATCCGCTCCACCCGTGGCTCCGGCGAGAGATCGTCAAGTACGGGGAGTTCGCGCAGGCGACGTACGACGCGCTCGATTTCGACTACTACTCGGAGTATTGCGGGAGTTGCAGGTACAATCCCCAAAAGCTGTTTGATAAATTGTCGCTGAGAAGAAGCGGCTACAAAGTCATAAAGTACGTGTACGCAATGTCGCAGATCGACATGCCGGAGTGGCTGGAGACGTCGCGTTTGGTGAACCGATGGAGCAAAGACTCGAACTGGATCGGGTTCATAGCCGTGAGCGACGACGAAGAAACGCGGCGGATTGGGCGGAGGGACATCGTGGTGGCGTGGCGAGGCACAGTGACGCCGACGGAGTGGTACGAGAACACCCAGAACAAGTTGCAGCCAGTCGGGCAGGGGGAAGCCAAAGTAGAACAGGGATTCCTAAGCATTTACACCTCCAAGTGCGAGTCAACCAGGTACAACTAGGGGTGTAAATGATCAAATATCTTGCTATTTTATTCAAATTTAACTACAAAAAATTTCACTTTTCACGCTTTAATTATTATACATAATTTTATTTTTGATTATTAAAATTTTCTAATTAAGTATATAACTATGTAATTTGTATCACATTTGGTAATACTAATCAATTTTTTAATCAACTATTACCCAATTATGAAAGAAGCATTGCATTTGCTTCTTCTAATTAAGGGGGAAATTGAATAGCAGAACCAAATATGATATAAATTATATAGTTATATACTTCATTAGAAAATTTTAATAGTCAAATACAAAATGTGATTCAAGTTGAAGATTATTCCTATTCTAATGGGTTAAATTGAATCTCAAATTTTATTCATATTTGATTTTAATAGAATATTTGAATTTGACATGCTTAATTTAAATTTTTAAAGTATGAATCGAATTTAAAGTAGAAAACTACTAAATACACTTTCACTTCTTACTCTTAACACTCACTCTCTCACAAATATTCTTGATGTAACATTTTTTAAGAACTACATAATAGGAGTAAAATTTGATAGTACATCTAGTATAATTCTTTAAAGTATTTTGATTTATTTACACCCATAGGTACAACAAATCCAGCGCCTCGGAACAGGTGATGCGGGAGCTCCGAAACCTGGTGGACTTGTACAACCAAAGAGGCGAAGAAACCAGCCTGACAATCACCGGCCACAGCCTCGGCGGCGCACTGGCCGTGCTCAACGCCTACGAATCCGCCGCCAACTTCCCCGGCCTCCCCATCTCCGTCATATCCTTCGCCTCACCCCGAGTCGGCAACATCGCATTCCGCGACGAGCTCTACCAAATGGGAGTCAAAACGCTACGCGTGACGGTGAAACAAGATCTGGTCCCAAGAATGCCCGGAATAGTCTTCAACGAAAGCCTGCAAAAGTTCGACGATTTCACGGGGACACTAGAGTGGGTTTACACGCACGTGGGAGCCGAACTGAAGCTCGACGTCCGATCGTCGCCGTATCTGAAACGAGGGTTCAATTTCATCGGAATCCATATGCTGGAAACGTATCTTCATCTTGTTGATGGGTTCATAAGCACGAGTTCGACGTTTAGATCGGAGGCGAAAAGGGATGTGGCGTTGGTGAACAAGGATTGTGACATGCTGGTAGATGAGCTAAGAATACCGCCGAATTGGTACCAGTTGGCGAACAAGGGCATGGAGCGTAATTCCCATGGTAGGTGGGTAAGGCCCAAAAGGGACCCAGAAGACATACCTTCACCGACCATGTAATGTAACCATTATCAACTTTGTATATTTTTAGCTTTTACTTTTGTGTTGGTCAAGCAATATAAATTAGTTGGGAGTTGGGACACGGCATTCACAAAAACGTGAACAATGATGGAACGAAGAAAAGCACTTGTTATACCTAGGACTTAGGTCCACCTTGCAAGGTGGACCTTGGTCCTAAATTGTGTATGTATTTATAGTATTGGAATTATGCATGTTGGTTTTTGGGTTTTCGGGCCCAGGGAGGTCCAACGCAACCTTAGTTGGTGGATGCACCTTTCACAAACGATTGTAAAACAAATGTAAAGTATTTGCAATAGTTTTAAGTGTCTCCTTCTTCTCCGGGTATCAACTTGTCTCGTTTACAAAGGTGGAGGAGCCTTTATATAGCAGGCTCCCCTCCCATCGACTTGAAGGCCTTAATGGTCGACTTCAAGGTTAATTACAGCTATTGAGCCGTTGGGTGCCGTTACCGGGACGGCCAACGGCTCTTACAGATTTGTAACAGTCTGACCGAGTCCTGTCTTTAATACCTTCAACGGTTCCTGGCTGGGTCCTTTTAAATGAAGCTCTTCAAGGCTCTCTTAACGGCTCTTGAACCGAGTCTCTTATGCTTGGGCCTGGGCCGATTCCTGGGCTCGGCCCAAGCACTCGCCGGGCCTCTTTCGACGCTGGCCCATGTCTTTTACCTTGGATCCCTTTCTTGGGCCAATCCTTCTTGGGCCGGGGTCCTCACCCCATCAACTAGTCCCTCACTTTTCCATACCCGGTCCACTAATCCGGGTTTGAGAAAGTAGTAACCGGTTGCCTTCTTAATCACCGGATCCCTGCCTTGAATAGCTCTTGTAACGTCCTGATTCCTTGCCATTTTCCCGGATTCAACGGAACCGTTTGGATTTTCCTAGCTCCGCATAGCTCCTATAAATGGCCTCTTATTCTCTTCCTTTCGTCTCACTGATCAGCTATGGGTCGCTCGCCTCTGAAGTGGAAGCGGATCGACTTCGGGTCTCCCCGACGCCCACTACCTTTCCAAGCGGACCCCGCCTGAGAGGGAAAATAAGAAGAAGGCCCCTCGACCGATTCCTCAGAGGTCTCCTGCTGGCGCTACCTCCTCGGCTCCTCGGCCGCCGACTCCACCTCGACGCGAGACCGTTCCATCTTCGCTCAATCCGCCGTCTCCAACTACTGCTAGGGTGACTTCCCAGGATGGGTCCTTCGTGGAGGTGGCAGTCCCCGAGCAGTTGATTTTTCGCATGACTTTCTCCATCCCTCTGGATGACCTGGACGGGCCGGTTACGAGCCTAATGGATGACGAGGACTATGTTCGCTATCTGGAGACGTATCCAGATGACGAGGAACTGGTAGTGCCTCCACTCATGCCGGCCTTCTGGGATTCGTTCTGCCCATCTCCCACTGGACCATCGGGGGAGATGTTCTTTGGAAACGACTCCTCTTCACCAGGCGAGTGATCACCTCGGTCAGGGTCGGCTTCGTATTTCCGAGGGGCTTACTTAGGAGCATCTTAATTATTTCTGTTGTAATAAGCTCCCAACTCATTGTACCCCTCCTTTTTTAATAAAATGGTATTTTTCTGCGTTGTCCTACATTCCATGCTTGTCGCGTATCTTCCCGGCCGACTGTTCGAGGAGTCGGCCATATCGTCAGGCCTTTTTCAGTCTGTCGTCTGCAAGATTCCCCATATCTTGGGTGAATCTAATCTTTTCAGCCTAGCGTGCGAACCTCGCTCTTCCCAAGCGGATTTGATGGAACTAACCTCTGACAGAGATTCGCACCACCCATCTAATCCGGCTCGGTTATGTCAGTTGTGATTTCCTCCGTGATTTCCGCCTGGGTATTCGCTTCCTTAGGGCTATATAAGGACCCTTCATGACCGCGTAAATCACATTACTCTCATTTCCAAAAGCGCGAGACCATGAGTTACAGAGACGGTGATCGCCGCTTGTCCATCCGCAACCAGGAGCATGCACGACTGGAGAAGTTAAAGCAGAAAAGACTGGCTAATGGAGGGCGTTTGGTGGGCGACTCAACTTCAGACCCGATCGTGGTGCCTCCAGACATGCTGGACTTGATGCTTGTGGAGCCGGTCAGTGTGGAGATGGAACCGGTGGTGGATGACCCGGATCTAGAGGAGGAAGAAGTGTGGGAGGTTCTTCCGCTCTTTGGTGTGGCCATGTCTCCGAGCGCCCTAGAGAGGCCCCTGCAAATGATCGATGACGGGAAGCCGGCTGTGTACATGGACGAGGCGCCGGAGCCTGAGCCGAGTCCTCTGCCTTTCCGCCCCCAGTACTTTTTGGAGGGTCCTCCGCCTGCTCGCCCGTCAGAGGAGAAGGAAGCCAAGCCCTGATCTGCTTTTCCCTTGTAACCTGCATTCGGCCGAATCCTAGGCCTTGTACTTTCCCATGTTTATTGAATAAACTGTTTGTTTTCTCGTTTCGCCTCGCTCTTATGTATTCCTTGATCGATTTCAGGTTCTTCCCCAACGGGGCCTTTCTTGTCAAGGAGTCGCCAAATCTGGCTGTCCGACTCCGAGACTAGAATCTTTTCACGAGCCTTGCCCGTGCTAACTGATGGACCGGATTTTTCTGGAAGCTTCCGAGCCGGACCCGGTGGGTCCAGAGGCCGTGGCCTACAATGGGCTTCTGGCCTAGCAGGCCGGGTCAACGCCACCCGGCTCTAGCCTAGGGTAGACGCGTCGTTTGCAGGCTAACCCTAGGCCTGAACCGTCACCCCGGTTTCCTAGGCATTAAATGCGGCGTCCTTTCACCTCTTGTCACCCTTCCCTTCTCCAATGGGAGGGTGACACGTGGCTACCCTTTGGTATTCCCCCCCCCCCTCCTTTTTAAATAGCCATCTTCTTCCCTCTTCTCCTCACTTTCTTCCAACTCTCCACACCCAGCGCAAAGCTCCTCCAGTTCTCCTTGCATTATTCCAGTCAGTACTCAGGTTGGTAAATGTCTTCCTCCCTGACTCTTCTTCTTCTCTCCGTCGCTCGGCGGAGAACCCCGCGATGACTTCTTCGTCTTCCTCATCTTCTTCCAGTCCCCGTCGCATGGAAATCCCGGCGGGCTTTCCATCGGCGTCTTCTTCTCAACCGACCCCCTCTTCTTCGGGGGCGGTTACTCCTATGAGCCCAGCCCCTCTCACGATGGTGGCAGCTCTGCTTGACGGTGCCGGACGGCCGCGAGGCAAGTTTGATTCCATCCTCTGGCCGGCGGGGTTCCCGTCGCAAATATCAGCGGCGGACCTAGAAATGGCCCGCTACCTTCTTGGGCCTTCTGCCCTCGTCTTTGCCCAAGAAAGCCGGCATATCTATGACCCGCCGGAGGGCTGCGTGGGTATTCACCTGCACTCGGTTGCTTTTGGCTTCCGAGTGCCTCCGTGTCCGTTTCTCTCCCTTTTCTTCCGTCATTATAACCTCGTTCCGGGTCAGTTGGTGCCCAACTCTCACCGTCTTCTCACCTGCTTCATCAACCTCTGCCACTGGTGGCTTTGTGAGCCGGATCTAGACCTTTTCCGGTATTTGTTCACCGTGAATAAGGTCGGCTCACACTCGCCGGGCTTTGTCCAAGTTGCCGCCCGTCCTGGGTGACAACTCTTCGAGAGTCTTTCCGACTCCATTAAGGACTGGAAGCCCTATTATTTAATCGTTCGTCTCTCTTTCTCTTCTTTTGCTTTTCTGACCCTGTGGTCGGCTGCTCTGTTCAAGCCCTGCTCTCGGTGCGCCGTCTTCACCCAATATGCGATCCAGGGTGGCGAGTTCTTGAAGAGCTTGGGGCCGTACTCCGTTAAGTACTGGTCTCGGGTCCGAGCCATAGCAAAATGAGGCTTGCTGCCAGACGGCGCAGCCACCTTAGGTAGTTCTTCCCATGTCCTTCTCATCTCTTTCTTTCTCTGTCCGACTGCTAATACTAACCTCTCCCTTCACAGGTCCTTACGACTCCGACTCTACCAGCTCAGAACGAAGCCGAGACTCCCACTCCAGAGATGGCTGACAGAGCTGAAAAGATGAGGCGCCGGCTGTCTCAACGCGCCTCGGGCGCCGCTGCTACCTCTTCATCTTTTCCTTCCCCGGCCTCAAGGTCGACTCCTCCACCACCATGTACCGTGGTGGACATGACGTCGTAGCCCGTCGTCTCGCCTTCCCGACTGCCGCCTCCTCCTCCGTCTGAGAGTCCGAGCTCTAAGCGGCCAGTCGAGCAATCGGATGCGCCGGCTCCAAAGAGGATGCGGTTAGGCATCGAGCTAGATGAGGATTGTAACACCCCGTGTTACGGCCCCTAAAACCATTTAATTAATTAATCAATAGCCCAAGAGAAAGAATAAATCATAATGATTAATTAGAGAAAAAGGCCCACCATAGTCCATGGGCCCTCATATATAAACCCAACCCCTAAACCCAATCCTTAGTTCCAAAAGGAATAGAATTAGCGAGCCTATAATATTAGTTCCTAATTAGGAATCCTAAATATATAAATAGGGGACTTAGGAGGCACCTAGAACTTCCCACAAAAATAACGCCCCACCACCCCAAAAGAGCTCCAAGAATCCCCTTAGGAGAAATCAAGAAAGCAAGGAAGCTTAAAGAAAGATCCTTCATAGCCAAGGAATTAATTAAGGCTAAGAGGTAACCCATGTCTCAACAAAACCTATTTTCATAGCTATGATTTCCCCCGTAGGATTCCCCATATTATTGTGTATTGATGATTTGTGATATTATTATTGATGATTGATGGGATTATTCCATGGGTGATCTTGATATCGGGAGATTCTTGATAATTATGGTGTTCTTGATAATTATATGGAGTTCTTGATGATTATGTGTCATTCTTGATAATTGTGTGATGCTCTTGAGGTTTATGTGTTATTCTTACCGAATCTTGCAATTAGAAGACGAACCATATTCTTGTTGATATAAAAGTGATTAGAACCCTAGGTTGTATCGTATGATCTTATTCTTGGATTATCGGGTGGGGAAATCGCATGTTTGGGTGTTGATTATATTTAGAAAAGCATGATAGGTTATGTGCCGTTCGTTTCTCATAATTGATCCGTTAATTGTCTACGTGTTGTCGTTAATTGCGTTGTAAAGTGTCTAAGCATGGTTTCGGGTTCCACAACG